GGTCTCTGAGGGCGCCTTCAACCAGTGGCACCGTGACAATGACAATGATTACACCACAGTGACGAAAGAGAAACTGGTGCTCCAGGCCCTGTGCCGGCATGACGGCTGCTTTCGCTCTGTAGTTTGGTTAGGGTTTCATCCCCGTTCTATTTCAGCAGGCGCTGGGACCCAGCAGAGTTAAAGGGCCCCACACCGTCACACAGTGATAGGGCAGCCAGGATCAGAACCTGAGTCCTCCCGGCTCACAGCTCTGTGCTCAGAGCCTCAACCCTCGGCTACGGCCGGTGGGGCCCACGTGCCCACGGGTCAGAAGGGCGCGGGGCACACTGACACATTCAGTTGGCAGGGAGAAGCTGGCCACGTTTTTGCTCTCTCCATTTGGCACTGAGTCAGCACACAGCGCGCTGAAAGGGAAGCACGCTGGCCAGCCCACCACGTGCTGGCAGACTGTCCTGCCTCCCGACTTCTCTCAGAGAAGACTGTGATGATAATTACAGCAAAGCCAAGTTCTCTAGCCAACACCCACTCTTCTTTCTTCTAAAGGAATCTTCATGTCGTTCATGACATCCATGTGCCTAGCAGGACTCAGACGCTCATCAGGCTATCTCAGCCCAGGCGGCCATGACACAGGGTTCCAGCCATGGAAGGGATGTCCCTTGGTAGGCTACACCTCCTACCTTCATCCTTCCTGCCTCTGGCCTAAGCTCAGCCAAGATGCCTCAAGCAGCCGTGTCCACCTTGTGACCAAATCTACACTCAGGACCTGGGGAAAAAAGTCCTACCTGTCTCTGAATTTCTTGCTGAGAAAAACAAATCTGGCACTTTTTCATTAAATCCATCCAAGTACAATGCAGAAACAATCGTGGATAATCCTAAATTATCAATGGGAAGGCCTCAATACACACATACTTGCATTTCCGGACCCATCCTCAGCTTTCATCTGGAATTACAGATTTTTTTTTTTACCTTGAATTACTCATTTACAAGCTTTACATGCAACCTATCCAAATGGGTCCACCCCTCATTGAGCTTGCCTTTGAAGACAGGATAAAAATGCAGGGAAAAAAATATAAATGACTAATAACAAAAAGTTTTAGCCACAAAAATTTTCTCCAAAACATTTTTGTATGTAAAAACGGGGGTGGGAGGAGGCATCTGGCCTAGAGGCTAAACCTAGCTAGGGTGCCAGCTGCGTGTGCCAGCTTCCACACTCAGGTCTGGCTTCGGACTTAGATCAGGTAACACAGACCCTGGGGGGCTGCAGAAATGCTTCCAGCACCTGGGGCCCTGCCCCCCACCACAGGAGGCCTGGACTGAAGCCTGGGCTCCCAGCTTCAGCCCTTGCCCCACCCCCACGGCTGTAGGTATTCAGGAACAGAACCAGCAGGTGCGAACTGTCTGTCTCTGGAGACCTGGAAGCAGCTCTTGACTTCTGGCTTTGGCATGGCCCAGTCCTGGCCATGGCAGACATTTAGGGAGTGAACCAGCAAATGGAAGATATCTCTTTTACTCCCTCTCTGAAACTCTGCCTTTCAGGTAAACAAGTGGAAAAATCTAAAGGAAAAAATAAATCCAAACAGCACAAAAGTGTTGCTTTTCTTTGCTTCTGACTAATATACCTTACTGTGCCAAACTGTTTCTATAGGTGCCAGGTATACCCAGCTGCTGCCTCATCTCAGTCCCAAGCCAGGTGGGCAGGGCTGTAGTGGCCAGAGCCCCAGGACAGGGTGCCTATTCACTCACTCCATCATCTGCATGTTCCGCAAGGTGAAAAGCATCAGGCAGCACTAGCAGATCTGACAACAAGATGCCACCAAGGCAACCACAGCAATGAGGGGAAATGCAACTTTTTAAAAAAGATTTATTTATTTTTATTACAAAGTCAGATATATAGAGGGGAGGAGAGATAGAGAGGAAGATCTTCCGTCCGATGATTCACTCTCTAAGTGACCAAAACGGCTGGTGCTGTGCAGGCCCAAAGCCAGGGGCCGGGAACCTCCTCCAGGTCTCCCACATGGGTGCAGGGTCCCAAAGCATTGTGCCGTCCCTCGACTGCTTTCCCAGGCCACAAGCAGGGAGCTGGATGGGAAGTTGAGCAGCCAGGATTAGAACCGGTGCCCATATGGGATCCCAGTGCATTCAAGCCGAGGACTTAGGCTGCTAGGCCATGCCGCCAGGCCCGGAAAGGCAACTTTAACAGTACAACAAGCACCCCAAATTTGTTCTCACATACCACACTGCTTTACTCTGAGCCACATGCTGCGTGGTCCACAGTACAGTTCTGTTCACCACCAAGGCACAGGGCGGGTGAGCTGCCCACTCTGTCATGCCACCAGCAGTCGGAGGGGCCAGGACTTGCAGATCAAGCCTTTCCACGGCCAGATGCAGGCGATTCCTGGGCCACTCCCCGCCAGACGACATTCCAGCTTCACAGAGAAGGTCCACACAGAGTTCTGATCTTGTTCTCTACACACAGTTCAAATGGCTGTCCTCTGCCTCTCCCACGACTGCCCTGTGAGCATCTATCACAGTGTATGGAAACTCAGCAGGACCAGGAAAGCAGAACATTCACTGGCATAACTACGTCTCGCTGGTCTTCCTGTACGGCTCCAACACCTGGTAAGCCCACCCAGGGCGCGTGCAGACACAGGACTGGGCCATCACCCACCAGCCCAGAAATCACCCCCGGAGTCTCAGCAGAAAACAAGGTAAGCAACAAGCTGCATGGACCATCCTTACGTTTTAATTTTGTTTTTGCCAACCAGTTACTTACGCTGACTGCATTCCAGAAAAGAATAAGGGAACTGAGAGAAGCTGTCAAGGGAAGCTTGCATGAATAGCAGAAGAAATGAAACACAAAATTTTAAGTGCAGGGCAGCATCAAGAGACATCCTTGAAGTCACAGCATTGTGCCGTCACAATGTGTCAGCTACTCCTGTTCCATAAAGGGGCAAACGGGAGACGGTGAGGGCAAGAACAGTCGTTCTGATCCTTCATCATGACGTGGCCCGTGGGGAACAGGCCAGGACGGGCGCCACGAGCAAGCAGCTCCATCAGAACAGCAGCCCTCCCTTCAGAAGGCATCCGGAGGGATGGCTGAGCATGCGGGTAAAGGGTAAAGGGGCCTGTGGCAGACGTAGAGACCTGGCTGTGTATCCAAGTCCTGGTCCCTTCCTGCGCAGCCGAGTGACCTCGGCACCTTGGACGTGTGCATCAAGCACAGAAAAGCCAGGGGTGGGCCAACTCTCAACAGGAAGCACGATTCTCCCATCAAGGAATAGCTGCTTTTCCCCAAATTTGTTTTTCTGTTTTCCTGACCATAACATGTATGCAAGGCACAAAATATGCCCTGCCATGGGGCCATTAGGAAGCAGAGCCCATCCCCTGGGAGAGCACGGGACCCTGGGGCGGGGTCATACCCAGGCCTAGCTGGCCCTGTTGGCAGGACACTCCAAGCAGCTGGTAAGGGACACAGCACGCCCCAAGCCCTCCATCCTGTCTGAAACGACGGGGACACCACGGCCCCTGGAGGATGCTGCTGGTTTGCGCCCTGGCCACTGCAGCACAGATATTCTCTCCCCCGGCTCTCCCTAGAGAGCGGCCTTCCTCCCAGGTCACACAGGGGCATGTGTCTGTGGCCAAGATCAAGTCTGTCCTCAGGAATGAAGCCTGGTGTCTACAACGGCTGGTGAGAGTGTGCCTATGTGTGCCCACTGTGCCCTCCCCCATGGCAGAGTTCCGTCACACATCCGCTCCACCCTCATGAAGCCTAGGGAAGGATAAAATACATATATATGAGGACTTTCATAAAACCTTTATTTTTAATCCTCCATCTCTAAGGCTACAAAAATTTTCCTACCATGAAAAACAGTGTACAAAAGTGTCTTGAGAGCAAGAAAATGCAATACCCTGAGAGACTATAAATAAACTAATAATAGAAAATATATGCAACACTAGGTCAGCAAACACCTTGGGTGAATATTAAATACATTCGCTTACAGCAAGACTCCAGTTCCAAAAATAATAGCAATACACTAAGTCCACAGAAAAACTAACCAAACACCTCCAGCTGAAACACACTGTCCTTGTCTGTCTCTAAAACTGTGCATCTCAACAACTTCCAAGGAAATGCTCTGAGAGTTTGGGTTTACTTTGAAACAAAGCTCTGTGCTTGGCACTGTGCAAACCGCAATGAATGTTCCCAGCAACAGCCACTTGTGGCCAAGCAAACACACTCACCCTCACTCAGTACTGCACTTAACGAAATGGTAACAGATGCCGGGAGCCTTTCTTTAGCAGAGCTGAAGTTAGCAAATGAGTTCTATGCTGAGCAAGGGACAGCTTCATTTCTGTGGAAAACTGCAGAGGTCAGAGCTGGGCCTGAGGAACCCAGGTGCATTGGATGCTGAGCTGACAGCTCCCAACAGGGACCAGAGCAACAGCTGGCGGATCCACGCAGTGCTGGGCGGAGCCCTCCTCCAGAGGCCAGCATCAACCCAAACACGCACACACTCGGCACACATGGGGAAACTCGCTGCTCTTAAAACCTTTTTGTTTCTCAGAGGTTTCATCCAGACCAAGGAAATCGGCTTTACACAAAATGCAAACTATATTCTGAAACTGATACTAAGAAACACAGGTATCTCTTTGAGTTACACCAGTTTCGTACAGGAAGTGAAACCACCAGGTAGTTTAGTGTTTAATTATGAATGTAACCTGCTTTACCTGGATTTTCACGTATTAGTCAAGACAGTGCCATTTAAATTGAAAATGAAAGAAATAAGAAGTCAAGATATGAATCCCTCCAGGCCTGTAACACATTTTAAATACTTTCAACCTCACCTCTGACACTTGTTCCTGTATTAAGGATGCTGGGGTCCTGGCTGTCTAATCACCTATGGCGCCTATTTCTGTGCCAAGGCACTGGCCATCTGGCCAACCCTCACCTCTGACACTTGTTCCCATGTCACAGATGCCGGCGCCGTCTGGTGCACACTCACCTGTGATCTTCTGCAGCAAAGGGGACAGCTCGGGCTCCTCACACAAGGCCTGGGCCAGAGCTTTCTTCACCCGCTCCTCGGCCTCCTCCAGGGCCCCGTCGGCGGCCTGCTCTCCCGTGACGGAGTAGACGTAGGTGAAGAGGACGAGCAGCTCCTCGGGGCCGTAGTCATCGTGGCTCCGCTGGGAGGCTGGCTTCACCAGGGGCAGCAGCTGGTCCAGCACGGCAGCCGGCGCCGACTCCCCAAGGCTCTGCAACAAAGAGCGAAGGCATGAAGAAAGGTCCCGACACGGGCAGGTCCCTAGCACAGGTGCAGGCTGCACACCTGTGCACGCCGCCTGATGCAGGCCCAGCACCGCACCAGGCAGGATGCTGTTCTAACAGGAACTTATTGGAATAATGAACTAAACTGGCCAATGTTGCCGAGGGCTCAAGATCTTCTCAGGTGGAAGCTGAAAGGAATGTATAACCACCTTCAGCTTTTCCACTAAATTCCTGAGCACGATTTGATAGGGAATCTTGAACTTCCTTAAGGTGATGACACCCCTCACTGCGGGAGCACCTGGCCCGCCTCCAAGGAGCCAGAACACCCTAGCTCGAATCCTGAGATGGGAGATAGAGAAATCCCCACCTTAAATCAGGCGACTGCAGTCCACCTGTAACATAAGATGACCCTCTTAAAGTATAAAACTCCACAATTTGTGTTTAATTCCGAATTGGGAGCCCCAGTCTCACAACCTGCAACTTAACATTACTCTTCCCTAAGTGCTCACTGAGCGCCTGCCAGCTCCACTCCAGGCACTGCTGCCGGGCTAGGAGGCAACGGTGCTGCAACAAATCCCCACTCTCAGAGCGCAGGAGTCTACCCGGGGGGAACAGACAACCGAAACGCTGAAGGCAGCAGATCACAACTGCAGTATATTGAACAGAGGGAAGCCCTGTGGGCAAAAGCAAAGCAAGAAAACACGATGGGAGTTAGGGTGTGTGTGTGTGTGTGTGTGTGTGTGTGTGTGTGTGTGTGTGTGTGTGAAACGGCGAGGGATGATGGGAACTAGGGGTGTGTGAAAGAGAGGGATGATGGGAGTAAGAGTGGGTGTATGTGAAAGAGAGGGATGGTGGGAGTTAGGGTGTGTGTGTGAAAGAGAGGGATGGTGCGAGTTAGGGTTAGCGTGTGATGTGTGTGTGTGTGTGTGTGTATGTGTGTGTGCGTGTGTGTGTGAGAGAGAGAGAGAGAGAGAGAGAGGTGGGAGCAGGGCATGCACTGTTTTACACAGGCAGAATCAAAGCAGGACGGGGATAGTGGGACTGCAGCAAGCCTGAACAAACTCTGCTACAACCAGTGGCTGCTCTTCCACCTTGGGCTGACTGCACACACCGAGCTGGCCTGGTCCTTACACACCTGGGAGAAGTCGCGGCTGCCATCTCAAGCTGAAGGTTCACCACCACATCTCCAGTAAGAGAAATAGCACAAACTATTTGGTTTCTGACTCGAGGCTCAGATGTTCACAATGTACCACGTGCAAATAAAATTCCATGTCCTCGGGATGGATGAGGCACACGTGGGAAAGACACAGCTGAGGCCGCGTGGCGGTCATGGCGCAGTGGGACTTGATGCACCAGTTATACACACACAGGCCTGGGGGAGAGCCTAGGCCGCCCCGTGAAGGCCCCGCCAGGGCCCCCCGTGAGCTCTCTCTCTCTCTCTCTCACACACACACACACACACACACACACACGCGCGCGCGCCTCGGGGAGAGCCTAGGCCGCCCTGTGAAGGCCCTGCCAGGGCCCCCGCAAGCTGTCAGCAGTGATAGAGACAAGGACCCGAGCACTGGGCTGCTGAGGGACAGCCATAGAGGCTCGGCTTGCATTCTGCTCTTCCCTCTGTCGCCAGCTCCCAGGCTGATGGGAAGCAGGCCTCCTTTGCTTTATATCCCATTTCTAAAACGCAGCTGCACATGTGAAGTATGGGTCCTACAGGAGCCTTGTGGCTCCCTGCCTGGCGTGAGAGCGTTTCTTGGAGTGTGGTTATAAAACAGGAGACAGGGCGGGATAAACACCCACGTGTGAAGGTGCGCCAGCCACTGATGGCTGTGCCCTTCAGGGCTGCACTGCCAAGCCACCAATCTACACGTGCTCTCCAGAGCGAAAGGCCCTCATCACTATCCCTTCCGTGGATGCCTTCTGAGCACACCAACATCCAACGTGACACTGAAACTGCACTCAGTGCAATCCCAAGGTGTCCCAACTGAGCTGCACACAGACCCAGGGACCAGTCTTAGAGGGCATGTGAGACGGCCTAAGATAGACTTTTATTTCAGAAGGCCAGAGTACAGTCCTGACTTCCCCATAACTGGTTCCCAGGGTTCCCAGCACCTCCTCTAGGAGGCAACATGGCCTGAGCAGAAGATGGTGGAACAGTAAGTCACGTGATGCTTGGACCCCTTTTTACTTCTGCTCCCCGCCCTTCCTCTTACCACTGGAGGTGGAAGGCAGCGATGCCCACGCCTACTGCTGGCTGCTCAGAAGAGAGAAGCCCCACGGTCCTACAGCCAGCCGGCCCAGAAACAGCCGTGGACAAACATCGTCACGTGGCTGGCATACACACGTGCTTCCCGATTCGGTGGGGCGGGGCGGGAATCTGGAAGTAACCACACTCTGCCCAGCCTTGATGACTCCAGCAAAGGCAACACAGACTGCAGGGTACAGACCACCTCCTGGCCAGAGCCAACAGCAGGGATGGGGCCCTCCCAGGCAGCAGGCACCTGCCACCAGCCAGGCTGGACGGGGCAAAGCGATCCTGAGCCAAGTCGGCCCAGCAGGAAAGCCCAGCCAGCCTGGTGCCCCACGATGACCATGTGGCCCCCAGCTGGATGTACGACTATTTCCTGGCTATCTCTCTTCTTAGAATGTGGCTTCAACAAGATGGAAGGGGAAGACCAGGGACTCCTGAGGATGAGGCTTCTTGCAGGTGTGGGAGAGGGCGGGCCTGGCCTTGGAGGCTGCCTGTATCCTGGGATAGGCATCGAATCACCATGGGCAAGCTGTTTACCTCCTCCAGGTCTCATGGCCCTCACCTGGGCAGTGCAAATGACAGTATGAGCACCTGGATCTTACACAGTCTCCTGCCATGGGCACCCACTCACACAGATCTGGGACAGCGGTCCTGTGAGGACTCACACAAAAGGTAACCCATGTCAGCCCAGGGCTAACTTTGGGGCAAACACCTTGTCTCCCTCAGGAATACATTGGAACAGTGCCTACTTCACTGGGCAGTTCCTGGGACTCAGCAACAGAAGGAGGGCCCGTAGCACAACAGCCAGCGTACAGCCCAGCGCTACCAGCCCTTCCTGCACACATCGCCCAAGCAGGCGGCAGGGGTGACAGAGTGGCCATTGGAGCAAGGAGATCTGGGAACAGGCTTGGTGCCTCCAAGGAGAAGCACCTGCAAACATGAGAACTCAAGATCAACAGTGAGGAAAAGGCCAAGGGAAACCCCAAAGCCATGGAACACCGCCATTACAACAGGGTACGTGCAGTGGGCATGACAAGCATGGGCGGCCCAAAGTGACTTTTCTGTGAAGCACGCAGGGCTGTGCTGCCATGCACTGTTCTGTCCACAGGCCTGCCTGTGGGAAGAGAGCCTGGGACTGCATGCTGAGCGACTGCATGCTGTGAGTTTATCAGCAGTCTTGTGTGCCTTACTCTTGCCTGCATCCCCTTGTCACGCCAAAGGCCCTCCAAAGCATTCACCATGCTCTACAGAGCACCTCGGCAGTGAATTCAGATGCCTCAGCCAAGCGAGGCTCAGCCTTCCCCACATGAGTGGCTGCCAAGCAGGCTGGCCTGGCCCCACATCGGCCCTTCCCTGGGCCGAGGACGGAGACACTTCAGAGCCTCTAGGGCTCTTAAAGACTCAGCTGGAGAACCCACAGCCCCCCACCCCATGCCTGAGCCCATGCCGGTGTGTGAGTCTCACCTACACTGCAGGTGGGGGCCAGAAGGGGTACCCAAGACCCCTCTGCCTGAAACCTTGCCACTACTTGCCAGGAGCTTTGTCTCTAAGACTGTTTGTTTGCTTATTTGCTTGCTTTAAGCCACAGTTATTTATCTGAAAGATAGAAAGATGAATCAATTTTCCAGCAACTGGCTTACTCCCAAAACACCCTCAATAGCCAGGGCTGGGCCAGGCAAAAGCCAGGAGCCAGGAGCTCCATCTGGGCCTCCCATGCGGATGGATGGAACCCTGGGACTCGGGCCATTGTTTGCTGCCTCCCAGGCTCATCAGCAGGAAGCTGGATTGGAAGCAGAAGTGGAATTCTACTGCACTTGGATAAGGAAGCAGAGGCTTAACCCACAGTTGCCCTACCCCCAGGCTTTTGGTTTCCCAAAAGTCTGTGTCCTTGGAGAATAGACTTTTCTTTAGACAATTTGGTTTGTGCTTAAGAGTGATGCCTGGAGGAGGCATGCATGTGTTGACAAATGCCCCCACAAACTGGGTATTCATACTATGTCCCAACAGCATGTTTGGTGCTGTCTTCCGGCCATGCAAGGTACAGGGCAGGACCCGAGTTGAGGGGTTTCCTGCTGGGGATGAGAGAAAACAGTCGAGACCTTGAGTAAACACACCCTCACTTAGAAACACACCCCAATGCCTGAACAGGTAGGCTGGTTCTCACTGAACAGGACTTGGTTGCTCACGTCCACAGACGTCAAACCCTGAGGTTAGGGTTAGTGGGTGCTGGGTTGAAGCACGGACACGATGTCACTGTGGCACCTGGAGGGTGGCCTGGGCACAGCATTTCCTGCTACAGTGGGTTAGCCCTCACAAGAGGGCACACTGTCAGGCCCTCGGTGCTCCTGGGCTCCCACGTGCCTGTCCCCCCATGGGGGCTGTACTGCCGCCCATGCCCTGGGAGCCCCCTTGCTGGCAGAGCCTTCCCAGCAGGTCGTGAGCAGCTGACTGGTGGCCAAAGCATGCATCAGCAGAGACTCCGCAAGGTGCAGCACTGGATAGAGAAGCTCCAAGAAAGGAGCTGCAGGAGGCGCCCCGGCTGCCCCTCGGCAGGCACTAACATACGCCAAGAGCAGAATCGACAGAGTAGGCCTCCCCGCGGAACCCACACTGACCCCTACCGCATCACAAGGGAAGTCCACAGGTGTGGCTAAGGTTACAGACCCTGAGAGGACAGTGCCCTGCCTCGTCCCAGCAAGCCTGTTCTGGTCACACAGTGCTTACAGTGGGGCATCC